CCTGGGATACTGCGGCCCCTCCTGGCTCAGGAACTGGACTAGAGACCGGCACAGAGGGGGGGCTCGATTCCAACATTCTGTTGCCAACATATCACCTTGGAGCCAGTTCAGTTCAGAATAACTCTCCAACTCTCAGCCGCTGCTGCTTATGTGTTCTGTTGGATTTCATCAGGGTTTGAGATGAGCGCTAGGCTAAGTGACCGTGTAATCGCTGGGCAGGAACCAAGCCCTCATCCATAGGAACATAGGAACAGGAGGAGGCCATTCAGCCCTTCGTGCCTCTTCCGCCGTTCTATCAGATCATGGCTGATCTGTACCTCAACTCCAAGCGGGTGCTTTTGCCCCATATCCCTATGCCATTGATGGCTTTTTTTCTGCTAGAGCTGAGCAGCTTAAAGTCTGGCTGTTCAGGTGGACATTAAAGATGGCCTTTCGATATTGCAGTCATCTCGCAGGAGCTGTACCTGAGGAGGGCACAGGCGGGACTGCAGCTTAACCTCAGTTCTAAGTGAGAGATAAGTTTTGATCAGGTTCTGTTGCTGAAAAGAAATCACAGGCCAATACCCCAACAATACACATTTACATTTATACAGTTATACTTAACCAGGCCAGTTACTTAACTTGTTCCAAAAATATTGGTTTTGTGATTCTTTATTTCACCATCCTTCGGATGAGACGTTAACCGAGGACCTGTCTGCCTGTTCAGGTTGGTGTTAAAAATCCTGCGGCGCTATTGGAAAAGAGAAGGGAGTTTCTCTCTCTGTCCCAATGTCATGGCCAATAAATCACCCAATAAAATTGGTCACTCACTCCATGGCTGTTTATGGGATGCTGCTGTGCACAAACTGACTGCCGTGTTTCGCCCACAAAATACACAGTCACTACAGTTCACAGTGAATCCTGTTTGAGACGTCTCAATGATGTGATATATCAAATACAAGGATTATTATTTATTATAACAATGGCATAAAATGACATGAGACAAAACTGGTGACGATGCAGCTCTCCTCCTCTTCCCCACTGCCCCCTCCTAACCTTCCTCCCCCCCCAGCGCTGCACAGAAGCATGGGGAGAATGAAGACCTGGGCCACAGACGCTGCGGCCCAATGAATGGCATCTTCTGTGACGTGTTATTGGGGTCTGTTTTTTTGCTTTAAAGGAGCCCCCCCCTCCCAAACAAGAACCAAGATCATCTCACAACTACGTGATAGTTCAGGTTGAGCTAACTGCTCGAGCGAGTGTGTATGTGGTGTGTAAGGAAGAGATCGAAGGCTTCGCTTGCCATGTTTAACATCAGGAAATCTTTATCTTATTGCTTTGACAAGACAATGGTAACCTCTGCTTTCTCCCAATGGGCTGCGAGATGCCTGAAACATTTGCCGCAGCAACAGGAATGTGTTTCCATCACTTGTCTTAACGGCCAGCTTTTTTGTTTAATGTTTAATGTCAAAGCAAATGCATTCAGGCTCCTTCTGAGCACTGGGCTAAAACCTTCAAGATCGATCCCATTTACGCTCTGTCCCAGTTGAGATTTTTTTCTTATTTAAAGAGAGCAGTTATTTTTCATTGACTGTATAAAGTTTGGCCTTTTTATTTCAAACAAAAAAGAGTAAATATTTAATGAGAGTTTTCAGAAATTCTGTATGTCGTAGGGAAGGTCATCAGAATAATTGATTTAACATACGTTATGGCAGTTTCTGGTAAGTATCTGGTTGGGAAGCTTAGCCTAGCTGGTTAGGAACTGTGTGTTGCTTCTCACTTTACTCAGCGGGCACTGGCCTGTTCATGCCCCCAACCCTCTCCCCCCCCACCATAAATGTATTGCAATATATGCAGTCACTGCATTTTACACTAAACCCTGTGAAGCCCTTTGAGGCGTCCTCCCGATTTGAATGGCGCTGATTCAAATGCAAGGATTATTATTATTATCATTTGAAGTCTCTCGTTCCAGAAAAACACAGGCCTTAAATCTGTTTTGTCTTATTATTGAAGTGGACGCAGAATTGTGAAAAATTTTCAATGAATTCAGCCTTAAACGTCACCTACAAAACCACCTTAAACCGTAACACAGTCTCACCCTCCCTCCACCTCCGCCTGCTGTGTCAGCCTGACGTTCCAATGTGTTGGTGGGGGTGTATTCCCTTTCTCGTCCCCTCCCTCCCTTGCCTCCTTAAAGGTCCCGTCTCAAGACCCTCCTCTTCGACCGCACCTTTGGCCACCCTCCTACCCCCACTCTCCCTGCCCTCCAACCCTCCTGATCCCAACCCCCAGCTCAGGTCCAAATCCTTGACTGTCCAGCGCTTTGGGACATCCTCCCGACGTGAAAGGCTCTGTGTAAATATCATTTTGTATAGATTGGCACTGTTGGAGGTCCTGTACTTCGGATGAAATGTTAAACTGAGGTCCCGTCTGCCTGTTCAAATGGTGTTACAGATCCCAAGACTTTATTCAACAACAGCTTACATTTATATAACCCCCTTCATATAGGGCAGTGTGTCGGAGCATTTGAACTGGGTGGAAACCGACGCTGAGTGGAAGGTAGGGGAGGGGCGAAGGTCTTCAGTCGTGGTCTAAAAGAGGGGAAAAAGGGGGCAAGACAGAGGGATTGGGGCAGGACTTTCGAAAAGCTTCAGGTCGATCTATTCGAAAGAAGAAGGGAGTCTTTTTCTGTGTCCCGGCCAACAATCCCCCAACAATCCTATTTCTGAGAGCTGTGCCACAGAACAGAGATTGCGAAAGAAAACAAATGTTTTGTTCATTGCTGTCCATGATGCCACTGCCCCTTTTCGCCACCACATCAGAGATGCTGGACCCTGAGAGCAGGGAGTTACCCTGAGAGCTCTTAACCATTCTCTGGTTAACGCGGCTGTAAAAATACCTTCACTTATTCGAAGCAGAGCTGGGAGAAGGATGCTCTGGACACTTTCTGGAGAACCGTTTGTCAGGCCAATTGTCCCCCTCCTCCTGGCTTCTCCCCCTCCCCCGGGATCCGTTACTGTAAAGAGCTCTGAGACGCCGTCCGGGGTGGAGGGCACTAAATAAATACAACTTGTTGCTGTTGTTGTTGGGCGTGCTAACACTGAGCCAGGCGGATGGGGAATGAGGTGAGGGACTCTGCAATTTTGAAGACATGGGGATGTCACCACAATAAGATAGGCTTATATATATGTGTATAAGGTCTATATGGGGTCTAATATATGGTGATAAAACCATGTACGCACTCTCTCCCACAGTTCAGTCTCTGCTCTGAAATAACCCACGTGACTTTCCTTATGAAAGAATTCCATTAACCAGGTCCCAGGATTAGTTCCCACAAGCAGATCAATATCCGAAAATCCCAATTTTCTCATCAGACCTCTTTCACCCCAATTCCCCTCCCTCCCCTGTGAAATTTGCAACAGGAAGCTCACAAATTGGTTCAATCTCATTAAAAAAAATCGTTACATTTGAATTAGCGCCTTATCACGTTTTCGAGACGTCTCAAAATGCTTCACAGAATATACTGTATAGTTGGCAAATGCCTCTGTTTGTCCTACAGTAAGTAGGAACCTGGTTGTTAGTCGAATGGCAGATTGCTTTCTAGGGGTAATAAGTCCTCAAAAAAAATCTGCAACTGTTTGTGGAACACTGCTGTGCTCATTTGGCTGCCATGTTTTTCCCCCAAAATACACAGTCAATCCACTTTGCAATGAGAAAATCTTTGGGACATCTCAACAACGTGATAATGCTAATAATGCTTGGATTTGATATAGCGCTTTATCAAATGCAAGATTATTATTAATATTATTGTTATACTGTGTGGAATGACGCAACAGAGAGGCCTTGTTTAGTTTTGTTCTTTATTAAAAAAATTATTTGCATAATTTAATAGAACGTCAGCACCTTTTAAGGCAAGTAAAATGCCAGAAAAGTATTCAGTCATTGGCAGACATGCTATATTGGGGTGCTGTGCTATGATCCAGAGTCTGGATAAGGAAGAGTATACAGGTCATAAACATGAGAAGCTTTATCTTTTCGAGAGATATCAACATCTTTTGTTTTTAACTAAATACTTTGTTTTAAAAAAGCGAGGCATCAAAATATATTAAGTGTTGTTAATATTTTCTGTTTCTGGTTTACTGCTAATTACACAGTAGGGCACTTGTCAACAGATTTACTGAACAAGTAGAGGGTGTGTTTCAGTACTAGGAAGAAAGAGAGAGAGAGAGAGCATACCAAGTTAGCAAAATGAGATCAGACAAGCTGGAAGAGCTTGAGACCCAAAATTCCACCTAGTTTTAAACTACGAAACCGTTTTGTTAACATTTAAGACCACCCAGATATTTGGAAAAAAATTCCTTGTAGTCTTTCTTGGTATTCCAGTGTTCCATGTTCTTCCCGACATGATAGGTGGGAATGTATAAATGTAATTGTGTTGTGTTGTTCTTTAAAAAAACATGGAACTGTCTGGCCCCAATTGAGAATTTTTCCACTCTTCGATTTTTCCAGATGACGAGGTGTTTCGTGCTGATGCGGGTGGAATCTGTGGGCTCAGAGGTCTTCTCTCGGTGAGCTGGGAAGCGGCTGGAGGTGGTCATGTTGGTAGGTGATTGGGGAGGAAATGTGAATTTGCACAAGAGCTGGGAGCAAGAGGAAAGTGAATGCTCTTCTGCTGTCTCCAAGTGCAACCTTAGATTCCGTTCACTGACTTACTTACTTTATCAGAACGCAGTGGACGGCACTAAGTGAACGGAAACTAAGGATGATCTGGAGCTCGAGGTGGTTTGGATACAATAGAATACAATATAAAATTAAATTTCCACAACGCCTTTCATGTCGGGAGGATGTCCCAAGGTTCTGGACAGTCAGGGATTTGGACCTGAGCTGGGAGTCGGGTGGAGGGCAAGGGGAGGGGGGGGGTTGGAGAGTGTCGAAGAGGAGGGGTTCAAGATACGCCTTGAAGGAGGCAAGGAAAGGAACGCAGCAAAGGGAATGTGAGATAGAGTTCCATAAGGTGGGGGCAGAGAGGCTGAAGGTGCGACTGCCAATGGTGGGGCGGGTTAGGCTGGTTGGGGGAACGAGGAGCAGGCCAGAGCCTGCAGAGCAGAGGGGGTGGAAAGGATGCCATGAGTAGTTAGGAGAGCGCTGTTGAGGTTTCCACTGGATGACGTCTGTCTTCCCAATAGAACAAAAGCCCTTTTCTGCCTAGATACTGACTGTGGTGTACAATCCAGACTTGCACACACAATTAGATCATAAAGTCCTCTTTTGTCTCCTGAAGAGAATACCCTCAAAATCATTAAAACACGCAGAACTGGTCAGTCACACAGTCAGCCTGTGTGATGTGAGATTGGTAAGAGCAGAGGTTGGGGTGGAATGAGTGAGCTGAGGTGTATTTGAATGGGTAGATTGGTTTGGGTTGCAGTGGAGTACGTTGGTTCAGAGAGGAGGTGGATTGGGGAGAGGATAGATTGGGGTGAGGGTACATTGATTTCAAGTGGAGTGGATAGACTGTGTTGAGATGGGGTGGATTCATTAGGGTGAGTGGGTTGGTTGGGGGTTGTGTTGTGTTCATATAGATTAGATTTGGTTGCATTGGTTCAGATTGCACTGGTTACATTGGTGCAGGTTGGAATGAGTTGCATCGATGCAGGTTGGAGTGAGGTGCATTGGTGCAGGCAGCAGAAAATTACGTTGGTGCAGGCTGCAGTGTGTTGTACTGGTGCAGGTTTGGAGTGGGTTGCATCGACACAGGTCACAGTGGGTGCTTTGGTGCAGGTTACAGCGCGTTGCATTGGTCATGATGCAATGGGCCTCATTGGCGCAGGTTGGAGTGGGTTGCATTGATGTAAGTTGGAATGGACTGCATTGGCGCAGGTTGGAATGTACTGCATTGGCGCAAGTTGGACTCGAATGGATCAGGTTGGGTGGGGGTTGGGTTGACAGAGAGTGAACTGGGGATGGATTGAGTTGGGCAGGAGTGGGGTGGAAAGGTCCCATTTCCTGGGGACTCCTCTCCTTTTTCAGGTCCTGTTGTCAGAAGAAGGATCAGGACTAGAAACGCCGCTGTCCTTCTCCTCCCCTTGGCGGAGTGGCTGGGCTGCCGGCCAGGCAGAGTGGCTACCGAAACTTACAGCAAGGAGCGTTGGCGTTCTTCACCACGTAGAAGCCGATAGAGAGAGGAGGCACCACCAGGATGCGACCTGCCCGCAGTGTTTTGGGTTTCATCTCCGGGAACGTTTCATCATCGAGCAATGCCAGCAGCCGACCATTTAACTGCACCGACCTGGGAACACAACGAAAAGGCGCGTTAGTGTCTGTGACCGTACAGGAGTCGGAAAGGACTGAACACATGTACAAGGTAAAGGACTTCCCCTGCCTTCTTCACGTCAAAACTCCTCAAAGTGCTTCACAAATCATTACTGTCATGTGTTGGTAAATACAGTAGCTGTTTGCGAGAGCAAAGTTTGCAGAACCCCATTGGCGGTCGATTAGGCCTTTCAAACATCTCATCACCAGATTTTCAAACTCAAAGTTTTTTGTCGACAAACTCCGCAGCCAATAAACACAGACTAAATGCCCCACAAACAGTCAGGGAGTGAGCGACCAAACATATCTGTTGGGATTGTCGGCCAGGACACCAGCAGAGAGAGAAACTCCCTTCTCTTCTTCAATAGATTTGAGGGATCTTTAACGTCCACCTGAACAGGCACTGACAGGACCTCAATTTAAAGTCTTGTTTGAGGGAGTGGTCTTTGTGCAGCAGTCAATGTAAGACAGTAAAGCTCCACTGGGGAAAGCAATTGTTAAAGTGAAGCAGGGGAGGGGATTAGAGGCTACAGTGTGTGAGAAAAGCGATCCGTTAGGAGCTCAAAACACAGCCAGCGCAGTCAAAACACTGAGGGGCAGGTCAAGCAGGGCAAATAAACACAGAGCGGGAGAGAGAGGGATAAATATACAGAATAAATAAAAAGTAGTCACAATATCAAGATCTTTCCTGCCAGCAGCCAGCTTAGTAGCTGCAGGGCATTTGGTGATGTGGGGGTCAGTTATTTTCATAGCAAAGCTGCAATTTCTACCCAAACTGGACCTTGATTACTCAGGATACTCACTCCTGATCTGGGCTGCAGAGCTGGTTATGATCCTCACACTGGATCAACGACAATCGGTCAAAGTGCTTCATAGTAATCTTTGCACATGCATTTTGATATAACGCCTTTATCATGTCATTGAAATGCCTCAAAGCGCTTCACCAACTATACTGTAGAGTGAATTGACATCCTCGCCGGTCTCTCCAGCTCCACAAGATCAGCTCATTTAGACTCTGTCGCCCACATACTGACCCCGACCAAACCCCGTCCCCATATCTCCCCAGCTCTAGCCCAGGATTAACTCCCCATCGACAAACGGCTCGACTTCAAGATCCTCTCACGCGTGTTCAAATCCCTTCACTCTCTGACACCTCCCTCCCTCTCCAACCTCCTCACTCCCCAATCCACCACCTGGTACAGGACTCCTAAATTATTGGGGATAATTTAGGAGTCCTGTAGCTCAGTGGTTAGAGCACTCGCTTTGCAAGTGAGAGACCTGAGTTCAATTCCAGGCAGAGGGCGAAACCTTGGGCAAGTTTCCTTACTCCACACAGAGCCTAATAATAATCCCTCCAAAACCAAAAACAATAATAAATTGGTCATTTTCAATCTACGACTGTTTGTGGGACATTGCTGTGCGCAATTGGCTGCCGTGTTTGCCCACAAATATACAGTCAATTCACTTTACAGTGTGTTCTGTGAAGCGCTTTGGGACGTCCTCCCGACGTGAAAAGCGCTATATCAAATGCAAGGATTATTATTATTATTATTATAATTACCCCCCCGGGAAGGAAACTTGCCTAAGGCTTTACCCCGCCCATGTATTGAACCCCGGTCCCCTCACTTGCGAGGGAAGGCACGTCACAGGGAATCGCTGTTGAATGTGTTGGTAGGCAAACTCTCCAGACGTTCTTACACATTGGCAGTAAGCCACAAAGTGAAGTCCAACCTGTGGGATTGTTGGCCAGGAACCCGGGGCGAGGGAGGGGAAGCAGAAACTCCTTTGCCTTTTAATTTTAACATGCACCTGATCAGCCACAGACGGGACTCAGTTTAATATCTCACCTGAAGGGCGGTATCTCTGGTGACACAGCGCTCCTCCCAGTGCTCCATCAGCCTAGAGTCTGTGAGTTCAACGTCTGAATGTGCAGCTTGAACTCGCAAGTACCACGTGGGTTTGTATATAATTCCAGGAGAGAGTTCTGGATGAAGATTACCCCTTTGGTCCCTTTTATCTCCATACTATCATCTCGTTAGTGCATTGAGTTGTTATGTAAATAAAGTCTTGCCCACACCATGCCTTCTTGTAGTATATTGGTTAGAACACTCGCCTCTCAAGCGAGAGGACTTGGGTTCGATTCCTGGGCAGGGCAAAACATTAGGCAAGCTTCCTTACTCCTCACGCCTCTGTTTACTTAGCAGTAAGTAGGAACATGGTTGTTAGTGAATTGGCGGATCGCTTTTCCGGGGAAAGATATGATAATAATTTGGTTACTCAATCTACGACTGCTTGTGGGACATTGCTGTGCGCAATTGGCTGCCGCGTTTCACCCACAGAATACAAACAATTCACTTTATAGTACAGAATCATAGAATTATACAGCATAGAAGGAGGCCATTCGGCCCACTGTGTCTGTCCCAGCTCCTTGAAAAGAGCTTTCAAATCAATCCCACACTCTCCCTCCGCTCTCTCCCCATAGCCCTGCAAACTTGTCCTCCCCAAATAATTATCTATTTCTCTTAAAAGTTGTTATGGAATCGGCTTCCCCCAGCCTTTCAGGCAATGCATTCCAGATCCCAACAAACCACTGTGTGAAAACATTTCTCCTCACCTCGCCTGTGTTTCTTTTAACAACTATTTTAACTCGGTGTCCTCGGGTTACCGACCCTCCCGCCAGTGGGAATAGTTTCTCCTTGTTCACCCTATCAAAACTCCTAATAATCTTAAAATCTTCTATCAAGTCTCCTTTTAACCTTCTCTGCTCCAAGGAGAATAATCCTCGCTTCTCTACCTCTCCTGATAACTGAAGCCCCTCATTCCTGGTACCATCCTGGTCAATCTCCTTTGCTCCCTCTCCAATGTCTTGACATCCTTCCTGAAGTGTGGGGCCCAGAACTGAACACAGTCTCTCGCTGAGGCCTAACCAGTGTTTTATATAAAGGTTCATCATAACTTCCTGACTGTTGTACTCTATGCCCCTATTTATAAATAAGTATCCCGTATGCTTTTTTCACAGCTTTATCTGCCTGTCCGGCCACCTTCAAAGATTTACTATATGACTCCCAGGTCTCCCTATTCCTTCACTCCCTTTAAGATTGTCCCATCAGCTTATATTGCCTCATTTTTCCTCCGAAAGTTCATCACTTCCCATTTCTCCACATGTGTCTGCCCGTGTTACCAGTCTGGCTATGTTCATTTGCAGTCTGCTACTATCCTCCTCACTTTTTACTACTTTTCCTGGCTTAGTATCATCTGCAAACTTGGAACTTGTCCTCCCTGGACCCAAGTCCAGGTTATTTATATAGATCAAAAACAGCAGTGGTCCCAATACCGATCCCTGGGGGACACCACTGCACACTTCCCTCCAGTCAGAAAAACAACCGTTCACTACCACTCTCTGCTTTCTGTCTCCCAGCCACTGTCCTTTTAATATATTTGGTGAAGTGCTTTGAGTCGCAAAGATTGATCAGGCGCTACATCAAATGCAAGGATTATTATTATTCCTGATAACCCCATTCCAGCTGGATGCAAGGAAACACTTCCTGGCTGCTATCCTGAACTCTCCCTGTGGCTTCAGTCGGGTGCAGTTGCCGTGTGGTCCACTAGGAGGTGCCTGAGCTCTGAGTCAGAACGCAGTCAATATGCTGACAGACCTGAATGGGAGTTTATCAGGAATATTGAACCTGGGGGAATATCAAGGACTGATCTTGTTAAAATGTGTACAGATATATGAAAATAACTGATATTTAAGTGATTTCAGAACATGACCAAGCGTTGGAGAGATATTGATAATAATCCTTGCATTTGATATACCACCTTATCATGTCGTTGAGATGTCTCAAAGGCCTTCACAAAATTATATTGTAGAGCGAAGTGACTGTTATCTTGTGGACAAAATGCGGCGTCAGGTCCACACAACGTAAACAACCATGGAGTGAGTGTCTGATTTTATTTTGGGGATTGTTGGCCAGGATACCAGGATTTAACATCCACCTGAGCAGGCATGCGGGACTGGATATTGAACTGAATCACTCTAGATCTAGCGGAATGATGGCAATGATGAATGATGAAGCCCCTTTATAACATGGTTATTGGGGTGGAGGGAACTGTAAAATCCTGGACGCAATGGCCTATCAGAGCATTCACATCTTGATGTCAGTGATCACGTGCCTGGTGACGTCAATTCCCTCATTTAAAAGAAAATGGCCAATTTCTGGATCATGAGGTGCCCGCTGCCGCCACTTCCTGTGAGCCACAAGAAATGACATCAGTGGTAACTTGACCAATCTCAACTGGCAGGGAAGCCAGCTGGAGGGGCATGGGTCCTCAGTGAAGCCGAGTAATAATAATAATAATATAATGAATATAATGAGGAGGGACTGTTCTGAGTAACTACTTATTCACAAGATCACAAGGTCAGTTTGGTTGAAGAAGAGGCTTTCGCCCATCTGATCTCATCCTTCCAGAACACCCACCCTACCATCCCACCAGCACATCATCAAGCTGTGTTTTTTAATGAGTCCAGTGTCCTGGCCTCAACTACCCATCCTGGTAACTTGTGCCAGTCATTAATTGCCCTCTGGGCAAAGAAAAAGGTCCTGGTATCTGCCCTTTGCCAGTCTAAACCTGTTGGTCTACTGTTTTGGTGCATCCTAAAGTATTAGTTAAGAGATTACTTTTTCGATCGTATTTAAATGTTGTACACATCTACAAGGTGCCCTCTTTCAGTGGATTGTCTCACACCTAACGAGCCTTATCGTTTGTTTCTAACTGTTGCTCAAAGCGACATTTAGAGTCCTGTAGCTCAGCGGTTAGAGCACTCGCTTTGCAAGTGAGAGACCTGAGTTCAATTCCAGGCAGAGGGCGAAACCTTGGGCAAGTTTCCTTACTCCACACAGAGCCTAATAATAATCCCTCCAAAACCAAAACAATAATAAATTGGTCATTTTTAATCTATGACTGTTTGTGGGACAT